AGCGGCCAGCACCGTGACCAACTGTGGGAATGGGACCAGAGATAAAAACGGACTTTCCACACTGCTTTAAAAAGTTAAGAAGACGGGTAAAATCTGATTTTGTCAGCTCAGACTGCTGAAGAGCTGTGTCGTTTGTTCCGACATGTACTATCACTCTTGTGATGGAAGACGGGAGCGATGGCATTAGGTCCTGGAGTTTTTTTTAAATGTCAGCCGTGGTGGAACCGGGGAAGCAGTGAGTGGTAGCGTTAAAGAAACGGATGTTTCTGGTTATGGAGTCACCAGTTATTAGTGTGGTTGGGGAGAAAAGAGGACGAGGAGATGCCGGTTGTGGGGTTCCAGAGTAGGACTGAGCAGAATCTGCTTCAACACTGCGTGCGGACTGAGGATGGAGTGTGTGAGCTGCCGAGTGTTGTGTTGGAGTAGCAGTAACAGACCTGAGAGAAGGGCTACCCGACGGTGCAGGGTAGAGACGGCCTCCGGAGCGTCTGAGCACTGCCTCCTTTAGGATCCTACGTCGGGAAGCGGAGGTTTTTGACCGGGATGACGGCCGCCGATCAGGCCCAGCGGCAGACCGGCGGCCCAGTGCAGGAGATGTAGCCGTTGGAGGAGATGCAACAGTGTCGGCAGGCACTGTCCGCCGAAAGAGATCCATATCAGGGAGACTCGAAGCCGCAGGTGCATCCGCTGGATGGACTGGAGTGTCGTTAGACAAGGCTGCATAGCGGTTGGAGAGGCCGATGTGCGGAGGAGAGGCAGCCCCGTCCGAGCCTCTCTTGCAGCCACGGACCACCACTTCAGCCCAGGTTGACTGATGCTTCTGAGTCGAGCAGGATGAAAGCCTGGGAAGGCTAGAGGGGTCCCAAAACACGGTGTCCTGGATGTTAGCGGTTGCGCTAAGAGAAACAATCTGTTTGGCTTGTACTGAAGCCACATCAATAAAGCCAGTCAGCAGGGAATCTTTCTCTTTGAGTTCCTCTGAAAGTCGTCGGATGTCTTCCATAAGGTCAGCAATCTTCTTGTTCGCTTTCTTAAGGAGTGTGCAGTCCTCATGGTGCAGAGTTATCTCGGCTAGCATAGTCACCGGAGCTTTGTTGCGATCAGTAGCGTTGATCTCGTTTTTACGGTCATCTAGCTTAAAATCCATGTCGGATGACTAAAATCCTTAACCCACGTAAAACTCAAGTTAAAAACTTAAGTTAAATAAAAAGGATATAAAAAATTTAACGAAAAAGAGTGGATTAAAACTGGATAAGAGTCCGGTTTAAGACGGAGCTTCCGACAGGTGGCTACAGACGCCAACGCATGCGCAGAGTGCAGATTACGTCAGCAATTACGTAAGATCCCTCTCACAAATACAACACTACAAAGCAACACTAACGCTACAAAGTTAAACACTATGCTATGAAGCTAAAGCATGAAGTTAACGCATAAAGCAAATCACAATTCTTCTAAGCCAAAGCCATAGCCAACCAACACTATAAAGCAAATCGCTAATGCTATGAAGCTAGCATGGCAGGGCTAACGCAGCTAATGCTAATACGTAACTTACATAAGTTAGCAACTTACCTCCCTGTGTTGTGCTTCTGTCAACATTGAATTTAAATTTATCAAGGAAACTGGTAGAGCCGTGTGGCTGGCCAAGACAGACAACAACGGCCCTCAAGTGATGCATTTACACACGTTGCATCTATTGGGGTAAATACGTAAATAAACAATAAATGTAATAATGAAGGGGCTAACTGCATGGGCCTTTGAGATGACTGCGGTTGACTTTAGCCGACTTGATAGCCAAACACGAGCCACAGGCTCAAGTCGCAAACACAAATTTTAACCCCCATGCCTTATGTAAGTCAATTCAGTTTTGTTTTATATATTACTATTCACAACAACAATTCTCATAGCGCTTTTCATATAAAGCAGGTCGAGAATCAATCCATCCGCCTGTAGCACTTCCACATAGCGCATGAAGGACCGGGTAGGTTTGTTGTGGGCGTTTGGGGGTCCTTACTGCTGCTCTCTGCCTCGGGCTTTCCATGTATGCACATGGATGGGCAGGGAGGTGCTCTCCCTACCTTATGCTTTCCACATAGGCGTGTGGAAGGGCAGGGAGATCCCAGAACAGAGCCATACCGCCAAACATAACCACAATGCCACAACATCAGTCTTTGATAAAAGTTGTCCTGACTGAAATTTAATTTAGCAAGCTCGTTGTGCGTACTGTATGTTGTGGTTAGGGTCAGTGTGAATCGATAGACTCTGCTATCAGCAGACACCGGTACAATGCTTTGCTTCTCCAGACTGGGGACCACCATCTACTGCAGATCATACACTGACTATGGAGTACCTCATACAGCCCCCTTCAAAAATCCTGAACTATCCCTTTAAGGTTAGCTTAATAACAACATTTCTGGATATATATTAAGGGGCTCTGGTTGGAAAGATAGAAACTATCATGGGTCACACCTGCACATTTTACCTCACCTCACTGAGGGGGATCAGAGGAGGCCACTCGGATACAGAACTTAATGAGCTTTGTCTTTACATTGTGCCTTTGATACTAACACAGTGTTTCTAAAACCCACTCATACAACATGTTGTTTGACAGACACTGCTACACTGGCCAGACAACAGATATGTTAACCAGCAGAACTGACTGGATGTTCCTTAAGAGGATGTGAGTCCAGTCAAAACCACTAAAAATGTCTTAGCCAGTATTTAGTCTGTTTCATTTCTCTCTGCTGCGGCAAAGACTGCTGTCCAGACACCTCTAACATAGCCTGGGACTATTTCTGTTTTAAAGTAGAAAATACAGAAAGCTGAATCATCACAATAAGAAGACAAATCATTTATACTGTATAAGTTCAAATATGTGAAAACAAATGGAAATTAAAAACAAATTATAATAAAATAAATTGCATGCAATTTCACAGTTTTCTCAGTCGCTTTGGTAAATTTCTCTAATCATCCTTAACATTTGCAAAACAGTAAGTGCATTTCCCGAAACAGATCATAGAAACAGCAGAACCCAGTGGATTACCGGCAAAAATTCAAAAGTTCAAAATCATTAGTTGATCTCTCAAAAGGTAATATTTAGTTGTTGATAGCTTTGGTACTGCTATCACAAGTATGTAGTAAAATTTCACAACACTTAGTACAAAACTCCGAACTCATCACACTTGTAATACAGCCCGACTTTCATTCAAAATTTGCCATTGTAAACATCTCTCACCACACAACCATTGATTCAAAAATAATTTTCTCGTGAAATGTCATGAGAACATATGGTTTAATCACCAAAACACAACATAATGATATTTTTTCAGTTTAGTCATTTTACATTTTTTCTCAGTCGCTTGTCATTGTTATTCAGATTTTTTTTATTGCTATTGTACTATTTACACAACTATGTTGTAATATTTCACCACTCCTAGAACAAAAAACACAATATCAAAAAGGGCCTTTTTTCACAACTAAGTACATCTGACATTGACAACAAAAACATGTAGAAAGACATGTTTCGCATTGAAATACATTATGTTCATACAAAATACAAGAAGAATGTTTAAGATTTTCTTCTCTATTGTTAAAATATATACGTATCAAACAGAGCAACACAGGAGCAGTGCAATGATTACGGTATGCACAATACTGTAAAACACATTACATGATTACCATATATTATTACATTGCAAATTTCATGTGGTGTTAAACTCAATTGGTAACTGTATACTGTAAAAGGTGGTGTGAACACCAGCAATTCCTTTCAACATGAAGCAGAATAGACAGCAAGGCAGTGGAATCGATCAGAGGCTCGTGGACAAGCTCAGAGATTTGGGCAACGTTCCTATCAGAGAGGACAGGGTCATGTTACATTTGATTAGACAAAATACATGTTGCAATAGAGTAAAAAACAGTAACTTTGTTTTTTGCATCAGTGATTGTAGAGGAGGTCTTCATTAATCACAACTTAATTAAATATAGGATAGATTTTGTGGAAATGATAGATTCTGTAAATGTTGGATAATGTAATGCCTAATATGAAAACTGTGTAGTCTGTCTTGTACAGGATACTGTAGGATAATACTTTCAGCTCTTCTAAGGTGATTTGAAACATGTATCTTGCATTGTTATTTGATTCACTGATAGTCGAAACAACTAAACTGACAAGAGATCATTATGTTGTGTTTTGGCGATTAAACCATATTCTCATGAGATTTCATGAGAAACTTATATTTTGAATCAATGGTTGTGTGGTTTGAATGAAAGACTGGCTGTGTGACAAGTGTGATAAGGTTGGAATTTTGTAAGAGTTTTTAGCACTTACTTGCAATAATAGTACCAAAGCAATCAATGCAAGTATTTTCTGAAACTATGGCCAAGGCTTTGATGACTTTGATGAAATTGCACAATGCTGTACTTTTTCAGTATGGCAAACTGTATTAATTTCAACAGTACCAAGTCATACATTGCAAAAGATTGGACCGGTTAACCTTTTGCTGTTTGTATTGTAACTTGTTGACAGATTTGCTTTGTAGCACTGCATAGCACAAACAATTACTAAATTTGACATGTAAACATGGTAAACGCCGGGCTGACGTTCCTGTCTGTTGGGCCACAGATTCTCATCCACATCCCAACTGATATCTTGATCAATTCAGGACACATTTGAAAAACGTAAACAGTGTACATAATCATTTGCATAAATGTGTCAAAGCATTTGCAATGTGTTCAAAAGAGCAAGAAATTGCTTTTATGATGTGCACAAGTGACGAGATGATGTGAAGGTTGAGTAGTTTTGAGAATTTCAATTCTGATCTGAGAAATGTACCAAAGCAACTGAGAAAAATTGTATAGTTGATGGGAAATATGTTAGCAACCAGTTACTTATTTACACATCCAGCAGCGATGGAACATTAGCATTTATTTGGATTGCATTTGTGTCTACCTGATACACTGATCAACCTTAACATTATGACCACCTGGCTAATGTTGTGTAGGCCCCCATTTCGCTGCCAAAACACCCCTGAGGCTTCGAGGGTTGGACTCCACTAGACCTCTGAAGATCTGCTGTGGTATCTGGCACCAAGACGTTAGCAGTAGATCCTTTAAGTCCTGTAAGTTGCTTCATGGATCAGACTTGTTTATCCAGCACATCCCACAGATGCTCGATTGGATTGAGATCTGGGGAACTAGGAGGCCATTTCAACACCTTAAACTCGTTGTTCCTCAAACCATTGCTGAACCATTTTTGCTTTGTGGCAGGGCGCATTATCCTGCTGAAAGAGACCACTGCCACCAGGGAATACCACCACCATGACGATGATGGTGTACATAGTCTGCAACAATGCTTAGGTGGGTGGTGTCAAAGTATCCACATGAATGGCAGGACCCAAGGTTTCCCAGCAGAACATTGTCCACAGCAGGTAATCGACATATATGCACCCGGCCATCCATGTAATGTAAAAGAAAACAAGTTCTTTCAGCAGTGGATAGGGGTCAGCATGGGCACCCTGACTGGTCGATGGCGATGCAGCCCCATATGCAACAAACTACCTTTCTGACCACACGGGGCAGTGTTCATTCCCCACGTGCATCAGTGAGCCTAGGCTACCCATGACACTGTTACCCATTCATCGCTTTTCCTTCCATGGACCATTTTTCATAATGTTGCTGATCAGTGTGTATATATATATGTCCAATATTCCCTCTCCCTCTGGTCTGTTCTCCACCAGCATTAAACATGACAATGAGCTTTATTGTCAAGTAATGTTTTACACATACGAGGAATTTGGTTTGGTGATAAGTTGCTACACGTAGACATACATACAGTTTATAATACAACTATTTGCAGAGAAAGAACAATGTGGCAGATATTTACATGTACATTACTCTGGTTCATGTTGTGCAGACGTATTGCAACGGAAGAGAATATTGTGTACATAAATATATATGTTGACAAAATGTAAAAATATACAACAACAACGATTAACAATTAACAACAAATATGTGCAAAGTGTTAAATTAAGTTAAATTAAATAATATTTACACGTGCAGAGACGTTTGCATTATTTGAAAGGGGGAGTGTCAGTGGGGGACCCAGGCCTCGTTGATGAGGCTAGCTGTAGATGGGAAGAAGCTGTTTTTGTGGCGAGAGGTTTTGGTCCTGATTGGTCGCAGCCTCCTGCCAGATGGGATGGTCTGAAACAGTTTATGTCCGGGGTGGGAGGGGTCAGCTACAATCTTTCCTGCTCGCTTCGGTGTCCTGGAGGAGTACAGGTCCTGAAGTGATGGAAGACTACGGCAATCACCTTCACTGCTGAGTGAATGATACGCTGCAGGCTGCCCTTGTCCCTGGCAGTGGCAGCAGCGTACCAGATGGTGATGGAGGAGGTGAGGATGGACTCAGTGATGGTGGTGCAGAAGTGCACCATTATTGACTTTGGCAGGCAGAACTTCATCAGCTGCCGCAGGAAGTACATCCTTTGCATTGCCTTCTTGGTGAGGGAGGTGATGTTCAGCTCCCACTTGAGGTCTTGGGAGATGATGGTGCCCAGGAAGCGGAAGGAGTCCACAGTGGCGACTGGGGAGTCACACAGGATGATGGGGTAGGGTGGGGCTGGGCTCTTTCTGAACTCCACGACCATCTCCACTGTCTTCAGAGCTTCAGACTGTTCTGGCTGCACCAGGTCACCAGATGGTCAATCTCCCACCTGTAGGCAGATACATCCCCACCAGAAATGAGCCCAATGAGGGTGGAGTCATCCTCAAACTTCAGGACCTAAACGGGCTGATGACTGGAGGTGCAGCTGTTGGTGTACAGGGAGAAGAGCAGAGGGGAAAGAAGGCAGGCTTGAGGGGAACCTCAGCTTAGCTGTGAACCGGGGTTTGTCATTGTTATAACTCACCCTGGTGTGTGTTGGCATACAGCTGTCCTCACAGAAACTGATGTAAGACGTCACAGCATCAGTAAACTCATCCGGACTGTTGGTAGCAGTCCTGAAAACATCCCAGTCAGTGCAGTCCAAACACGCCTGAAGGTCCTCTACAGCTACACTGGTCCACATCTTAGATGTCCTCACCACAGGTTTACAGAGTTTTAGTTTCTGCCTGTATGCAGGAGTCAAGTGGACCAAAGGAAATACTTCCTACTATTATTAGTGAAGCGTATCACTAAAAAATGATCTTATGTTGTTTTTCTCTTCTCTGTCATTTTATCTGGCCAACAACAAAAAGCAATAGGTGTTTAAATATGAGTTAGGATGTCTCTTACACATCAAGCCCACTGATCTGCCACTTAACAACATATTGAGCCAAATCCAACACAGCGGTAGATCTACAGTATTAGCCAAATATATCAGTTCACACATAGGCTTATCGCAGGTGACTCACTATACAACAAGCTATTAAACAAGCTAATGTGATAATGGCTAACATAGCAGACTGGTGGAATTATTTTTTTAATCTAATTTATTAAAGATGCAGCATCATCTGTATTAAAGAGATAAAGAGAAGAGAAAAAAATCACTTTATCTGATGTTTAAAGTAAATAAAATAACCTTGCAAACTTATTTAACATTACTGGAGTTCGACAACTACTGAAGCTATTCAAAATTTCTGTCCCACCAGACTTGTGTGTAAGTGACATAAAGGAGGAAAGCAGGCAGCCGACCATACCACTGAGAGGCAAGGGAGGGGAGATTCAAAAGGTTTTGTCCCGTTTGCATTTGTATTTTTTTTACTGCTTACACACTTATCTTAGGTATATATCATCATATTATTGTATAAACAATCCACAGCATGTATTTTAATGATATTTTAGGGGGGACAACCCTTAGATCTGAGCAATTTCCACCTATGGAGGGATAGCAGTGAGATGTGGTGGCATGTCACTTTACTGTCACTCAGTCATATTTTTTAATCCAACACCAATGTTTCAATATAAGATATTTAAATTTACATTTGAAGTTACATTTACAGATTGAAGTTTGCTGGAACTAAAATAAAATAATCACATGAAATATTGCAGTTGTTGGCCCTCTATAGATCTGAGGTCCCACAATGTGAGAACAGTCAAAGCTTCCTCATTAAAGGAACATGGGGCACACATTTGATGACAGTACTTGGCAAATAAGTTAGCTACTACTAGTATACTGTCCTTTTAGCTGATCAAATGTTAAACATGAAAACGTAACATTGGACAAATTGCTGTTGCATGCTTGAAGCCATGTACTTTTGTTCCCAATGCTTGAGTGTGGTCTGCACTGAACTTCAGCTGTATATGCTAATCTCTCTAAAAGAGGAATATCTCCAGGGAACCAGAACCAGACTCCTGGAAATAGTCATCCTCTTTAGTTTTGTCTCCAGTCAGTTGAATGACCTTGTCGCGTAAGAGGTCTCTCTCTGTTTCCAAGGCCTGATATTCCCTCTGTAATATCCTCATCAGGTTGTTACAGCAGGAACATAACTGGGCTGAATTCTGCTGAGACTGGTCAATCTGGCACACTTCTGCTATTATGGAGCTGTTGACAGGAAACTGATCTGTATCTGCCTTTGAATAAACTGACAGAAAACAGAAATTGTGGGTTATGATTGCAAAACATTCCACAGAGGAAACATATTACCACAGTGATTGCAGTGATGTGCAATTCCTTATCTTGCATTTTGTAAGACAAATTATAGTTGTTCACAACTTACAGGCAAGGTGCAGGGAGACATTGAGAGCAGCTTGAATGATGCACAACACTCCTAAAGTTAAAATCCCAATTCTGAGAAGTCTTCTCTCTGTGGATGTTGTGCCTGCACACACCCACACACACACAAACATAGACACACACACAGTGCAGGCAATCATTCTGTAATTCAGGATACTGACACTGCTATCTGACCCCTCTCCAAAATTTTATCCCACTTTGATGTAAGGCGACTGGTCTTGTTCCTCGCAAAACATCTTTAAATCAAAGTTCTTGCAGGACAGTGATCTGAGCAACAAAACCGATCTTTGTTGGGTGCTCCCTGATGCTTTATCATTATCTAATATCAAATGATTGAAATAGTAAGGCAGTTAATCATTGGTGTAATCCCTAACATAGCTGTTTTGCACTGTCCTTCAACTGGATCTTTTAATTAATTCTTCTTCTTTAACCTGTATTTACTTGTGTTCTTACCTGACTGTTCAGTGTCACAGTAGTTTGTTTCAGGTCTCCCATGTGCATGTATAGTGGCGTAGTCAGAAAGCTCCAGCTCTTGCTCCATGGTGATCTACTGAGAAAAGGTTTGGGCATAAATTCACTGCTATTCAGACAATGCTGACAGTCTCCACACAACTGATATATTTCACTGCTCTGAGGGTTGTATTTGCATGTCCTTCTAAGAGAGGAAGTTGCAATTTGATTTAAGGAAACACATAGAGTTAGGTCTCAATATGAGTCAACCCCAGAAAAGACTAAATTTAGGCAAGAGAGACCCAATTTTGGCACACATATTTATTCACTCGCTGTATCCAAAACTTATTTTCATCCTTTTTGTAGAAATCTAACAGCTAAAACAGCCAACTCTTCTGCATCTACAAATTGTCACAAACTAGAGAGAACCAATTTATTAAGGTCTTAAACCAGGTTGGTCAAAGCTTGTTGTAAATTTTTAAAGATATTGCCAATGGCGCTATTTGTCAGAACAGACTTTACATTTTTAATTTTTGATGAAGCTCTGAGAATACCAAAATTCCATTTGTTCACACTTTTGTAATATCGAACGTGTGTGCAGATGTATAATGCAGCGTCGACAGAGGCTATTACAGTTTTCAATTGCTTAGACACATTTTCTGAAAGTGTGGCTCATTGTCACAAACGCAAATCCAACATGTCGAAGAAAGAGAAAACTCTTGCAAAGGAATCAATGAATTCAAAAGAATGTTTAAACACGTACACAACAGAATAACAAGGATCAACTGAACTCTGATGTGCTTTTTCCCCCCTACTATACAGTAGCCTGTTGCAAATTGGTACCATGGGTTTTAAATGTATTATACTATGAACACTGGGCTGCATCATGCTTTTTGTTTTTATCTGACCACAGGACCTCGCTGGCATCACAGGCAACGCCTCTTTAACCAACCAGCGGGGAAAGTATCGCCTGGTATGACAACTCAGCCCTGATATGCTTCAGCAGCCACATCACCACATGCTTCCTCCACTGCTTGTATAAAAGGGGTATGGAGCCATGGGGATTGCATTCATATAACTTCCAACATCAACCTGTAAAAAAAAAGAGCCCACATTTGGCCCTTTATCACTGAAGCCTTGATTGCTAATTGAAAGGCACCAGGTTTTTGCCTGTGTGAGGAGTCAGTGATATAATTGGCAGGTCGAAGTTAGCATTCTGAATGGTGGCTTTTTTATGTGGAC